GTATCCACGCAGAGCTCCACTGACATCGAGGGGATTTCACCAAGCCATGAAAGTCCATCCAAGTGGGTCCAATTGCACAATCAGACTATTCTTGTTAATATTTGCTCTGCACTGAAACTTCCCAGCGCCTGGAAGTAAATGTTATTTATTTATTTCTATTTCATCATTTTTATATTAAAAATTTAAAGGTGCAAACGAACCAGAAAGAAATGCATATACTAGCATTAGCACAATAGGTTACAATGAAACTGGGAAAAATATAAACGAATATGTTGAAAGAAATATGATCTATAAAAGAATGCTGCTTTCCACTGCCTTTATTATGGATTTACCCAAATCCCATTATATAAGCAGGCAGTTGTATTCTGCCTATGCTGAAGCTTCTGAGAGCAGGACAATGCAGGAGTTTCTTTCTACCAGAAACAAACTGTACCACTAGACCAGTGTTTCCCAAACTTGGGATGCTGCTTATGTGGGGAAAGCCCATGGCGGGCCAGGCCGGTTTGTTTACCTGCCCCGTCCGCAGGTCCGGCCGATCACGGCTCCCACTGGCTGCGGTTCGCTGCTCCAGACCAATCGGGGCTGCTGGAAGCGGCGACCAGTACGTTCCTCGGCCCGCACCGCTTCCCGCAGCTCCCACTGGCCTGGAGCAGTGAACCGCGGCCAGTGGGAGCCGCGATCAGCCGGACCTGCAGACGGGGCAGGTAAACAAACCGTCCCGGCCTGCCAGGGGCTTTCCCTACATAAGTGGCATCTCAAGTTTGGGAAACACTGCACTAGACTATATTGCCTGTCTGAAGGTCCATCAATGCCCTAAACGCTATATGCCCCTTGTTAATGCTATCCTTAGGATGAAGGAAATACCTGGGACAGTATTCACAGGAAAACCATAGGACTTACTGGAGCTGCAATTTAGCCTTCAAGTGTGTACCCACTATAGGGTCAATAAAAATGATTACAATCTCTACCAATTATGCATCGAGTGCTGCCACGTACTGTCAATTTTTTAAAAGATGATATATTAAAAAAATCTGGGTCATCTTTTGTAGGAGTGCTGACCTTTAAAATGCTGCCTTCACTCTTTTTTAAATGACATTTAATCATCTGCCATTGTTATCAGATCTGGTAGAAGTGAGGTATAACACTTCGTTTCTTGAACCCTCACACTGCCACGGGTAGTATGCATGCAATAATAGCGACTCAAGCTAGCTCTGCTTAGGAATCCCAAAATCAAAAATTTTTAATTTCTTGTACTAAACCCCCGGCTTTTTCCCCCAAGCAAGTTACCACGGCTCCATGGGCTACTCACAACAGACAGTTACTACTAGATAAATCACACAAAACTGGGGAAACAGGCTGAGAATCTTAGCCTTCCACTCCTAAACCATAGACCTAGACCACTTGAGCTAAAGGAGAATTTCCTTAACTAGGAGTAGTAATAGATCCTCTACCTTTCCTGTAGAGCAGCCAATAGAGAGTAACATCACACATTCATAGAGCGAGAGAGAGAGAGGGAGAGAGAGAGAGTAAGTATTATAAAAAATTAGTTTTGTTTTATTGGGATCATAGCCTTTATCATAGCCAAGATCCATTAATACTCAGCTTTCCACAATTCCATGAAACAGGTTTTGGAATACAAAACAAAGAGATGACCTCTACATGCACACAATGGGAAACTCCTGGGTGACATATTTGTACTGCCAAAAGGCCCCTTCCTCTGGATCTCCCACTGTATTTTGTCTTGCCTTTCTGTTTAGATCATGAGTTCCCTGGGACAGAGACCATCCATTCTTCTGTGTTTTGTTGGAGCTATTGATGCTTAGCAAATAAGGATAAAATAATGTATTGATAATAGGCAGATAGAGCCTTACGGGATGCTTGAGTGATAAAAAAAAAACCTCTAGGGAAAATTTCCTCCTGACCCCAAATCAGGAAGGCAGTTTGACCCCATGCACATGAACAAGAATCACCATGAGTAAGAATCTAAACACACAGACAACCTGAGATACCAATGGGATCCAAGTAACTCTCTGTGATTTTTTCTCCTAATTTCCCAGCAGTTTGACCACCAAAGAGCCATTAGATGGGGATCACTTGCAAGAAAAATTGTTTTTAAAAAGATGCCCATAGTCCACATTTAAAAATGTGTGTATACCTAAGTATCTCAATTTGCACACACAAGGGCATATGCACATTGGATATTTGAGGATGAAAATAGGTACTTAGAGGTCTAAAAATCTATATGTGAAATTACTGAGACTGCAGACACAAACTAGGCATTTTCACATGTACATACCTGGTTTGTAAAAGCATAATCATGTATACAGTGCATGCAAATTTAATCGTGCAAATAAATGTGCAAAACATCAGCAGTCTTTTATTTTTACGTCTGGCCATACAAGGGACTTGAACTGGTGCTGACCTAGAATTGAAAAGCTCTGAGCTTCATTATCAGATATACCCTGATCTACCCAAGTTGCCCTTTTAAATTATTTTCATTAAAATCCAAATGGCTCTTTCTCATTATATTTGAGTACCAAAGAAATAAAATAGGAGTCCAATAGTTTAAAATGCATTTTTGCACTGTTCCAGCTCTTAAGGCTTTGTGCTTTAAGTGGAATTTTTGCAGGTCATTAGTTTATAATGTGAACCAGTGCCTTTGGGTATTCTGAAAGGGAAAAAAAAAAGCAACCCAAATTATTTTGTTTAGAAATGCAGTTTCCTGGGCTGGTACAATCATTTATTTCAGCTAGAACTTCAGATACGTTTTATACACACATTTAGAGTCAGATGCTGTGTTGAGAACCAAGGTGAATGAAGTACATGCTGTGGCTTTCTGCAAGCTGCATAGCGAGATGCACCCTGTGTCTTGGATCTGAGCTGTCCCCAGTGTAACAGCTGTACATAAAGAACTTTGTTTCAGGCCAGACCCTAGTATTAACCCTCTTATCTGATCCCCCCAGTGTCTCACCTTCTCTCTGGTTTTCTGGGAGTGGGAAGGCTGGCATGGGAGCACTGCTGAGACCGTTTCCACTCCCCCAACTGCGTTTTCTACTCTAGTGCCTGTGAATGACAAGGCTCTAGTGCCTGACAGACAAGGACAGAGCAGGGTTCTGAGTGCCAATCAATGGAGCATGCCGCATGGTGTAATTGGAAAATATTCTGCTTCTGGAATAAGATGAAGATATCACTCTTAATAGAAAGTGGTGGTCAAGAGCAATGTAATTGGGGAATATTAAATTGGCATACTCATTTTGTAAGGCTGATTTAAAGAACCCAGGGGTGCAGTTTTTACCAGTGATGAGCCTGAACTGTAGAGTTTGAAACCAGATCTGAACTTCATTAGAGTTTGTGGGTGTTTGGATCTCGGAGACAGTTTCAGCTCCACCTGCTATCCTTAATTCATTCAGAAAGCATGGCTGTCTGAAAGAAACACTTTAGTCTTTCATTCACTACAGGGTCTTCCTTCACTTTAAATCCTTCCTTATCAATTGTCGATCTAAGTTATCCATATGACCAGCTCAGTGCATAACACAGATTGCAGAACACATGTAATCAGCGCTTATAATGCCTGAATAACACAACCATGAGTAAAGATATTTTTAGTAAATTTCACAGCAGAGAGGCAGGAAAAAAACCAATAAGTCTCAGAAAGGTCACCAAATAATATAGGTTTTTCTACATCATACACAGGAATAAAGTGGAGGTGCTGAAAGATGAGACCCGGGGATGAGGGGTTCGAGAGAGAGCCCACCACACATTCACCCTGCAGCGGCAGCTCTTGTACCGCAGGGCTGGGCCTTCTGACTTGTCTTACTGGGTCACGGTGCCACTCATGTTTGGCCCCCACCCTCACCCCTCAACACGTGGAGATGGAGTAGCAGACAGGCTGAACCTGCGTCCCTGTGCACCAGTTCGCAACGTCATTTGGTTTGGGGGCCTAATCAAATGTGTGTTTAGCAGCCATTTTCAAGATTTCACAATCTTTACAGTGGCCATGGAAAGCATGAATTTGAATAATCTCCATGTCAAAATCATAGCCCTAACCATGAGCCACAAGGCATCTTTTATTATTGTGTATCTTCCTTGGACTCTTTATCTTTCTTGCATTCAAATTTTTGGTCCCCTCCTTATTAGTGATAAACTCAAGACAGCTATTGAATCACCCAATAAAATCTAACTAATGTGGTCAAAATTGATCAAAAGAAAGGAACAAAGTTTTGCTATTTTTATTAACATTTTTCCTGAGAGGTTGATCAAATCAATCAGAAAGTCAAATCAACTGGCAATTGAATTCAGTGAAATGCACTATACTTTGTGGTCAACATTTTCAAACATGGGGAAACTAAATCCATATTCAGGCACCTACATAACAATGATCTGATTTCAGAGGTGCTGAATACCCACAGCTTCCACTGACATCGCCCAGGGTTGGAAATTCTAGCCTGCACTCTTCCAAGCAGCCTGCAATCTTCCACCTTCCTACACTCACTAAGCTGAATGCGCAACAAAAATTCAGAACTTCTTATCCAATACTCATCTAGCATTATGTCAAGACCAACAGCCTATAAACCAAGTGAAGTAAAGTTGTGGATAGCAGTGTGGTTGTGAATTCCACTCACACTGTATCTTAAAAACACAAAAAACCTGGCCAACCTATTATCATTTCACTAGTACCTGGAGACCCCAACCAAGACTGAGACCTCATTGTGCAAGGCACTGTATATACAAAGAGAGAGAGAGACAGAGTCCCTGCCCCCAAGAGATTATAATCTAAATAGATATGGCAAACAAAAGGTGGCAGGGGAAACTAAGTCACAGAGAGTTGAAGTGACTTGCCCAAGGTCACACAGTAGGTCAGTGGCAAAACCAGGAAAGAACCCAGGTGTCCTGACTCCCAGTAGAGCGCCCTATCCACTAGACAACGCTGCCTCTCTTTATGCTTACACTCTTCCTTTCTCAATGTAATTTGTTATGGGAAACTCTAGAAGCAGACATACCTTTCCAAAGATAAGTGAACGTGCTGAGAAATTCTTCATATGTCTGTTCCTGGCTATTAATAAACTGATCAAGGACACTGTTGTTTGACGGTTGCTTTTCCATCATCCATGACCATGACAGTCAAACAGGCATATCTTTTCTAAGAGGATTCCTCTGTAATGAAAAAAGGGAGAACCATATATAATAACAAAGCCTTTTTTATTCTTCAGGCAGAAAACAAATCAGAGGGTCTTTTAACTTCAGAGGAAGTTTCTCTAGTTAGCATAGTACAGGTGAGCACTGGAATTCAGAGAATCAGCTATTTCTCTCCTTCTGTAGGCCGTGATTACTTCATTAGAGTTCTTGGAAGGCACAGGGGAAGGCATTTATAGGATTAGGGCCACAGTTATTTCAGGTGCATTTAGGTGACAAATAAGTGGCCTATTTGAATCCTGGGAGAAAGAAGGTGTCTATCCATAGAACAGGTACTGTGTAGGCAACGCAACAGTGCTTGTGTCTCCCAGAATGTCCTACCAACATGCTTCCACCCTGTTCAGGAGGGACCATGTCTAAGTAATTCAGTAACACTGCCTGTCCAACCTTTGCTTTCTTTGCTGAGAGGGTGCCACTTAGCACTAGTTGTGGTGCCGGATTTTATGATAGGGACACCTGTACAAGGGAACTTGGACTGAATCCACCAGCTCATTTCACAGGTGCATCTTGTACTATATTCTCAAAGCCACTAAACCCAAGCTTTGGAAGAATGTGATATTACCTTATTATTTATTTGTATTGACGCAGAACACAAAGGCCCCAATCAGCACAAGAGACACATTGTGGAAGGCAAAGAACAAATGCCGAGAACTACGGGACCTCGACTGACAATGCTCTGCTGTCTCCAGGAATTTAACGCTCTGGCTAGACAGCTGCAGCATCCAACTGATCTTGACTCTTTCAATAGGGCATAAGGAAAGTGACGGCCCCTGAGACAGTTGCATTTCAATTACATCGTTAATGTTGTTGTACAGTGCTTCAAAGTGCTATGTATTATTATTATGGAAATTCAGTACATATAGGACCAGGCTAGCGTGCACACATACATAATTTCTACCCATTACTGCAGTCCCACACTCAAGTGGCCATGTGGGAGCCTAGCTGTGCATGTGTAACTACCCAGTTTATATACACAATTTTTATAGATGTGTATGCATATTAAGCGTGCAATTACACACAAATGTCTTCACGCTGCCCAGGGCTTCTTGCCTTTTGGAAATACAGTCTTTAATTTACAGGAGCACTAAGGAACAACTTTAGAGGTGAAAACCTGCTCCCCTGAAGTCAATGGCAATATTACCGTTGATCTCAGTAGGACTATGTTTATTTATCCTTTTATTTTGGATTTGCAGTTAAAGCAGAATGAACCCGGAACATCCAAACCACAGCATCAAAATAAACCATGAATTCTAACTCTGTCGTGCTGTTGATTGTCACAGGAGGTGATTGTTCTGAAGTTTAAAATAAACCAAAACACATAGAGTCCAAAACACAGAACTTTAAGTTTCACTAAAAACAAGCTAATATTAACCACTCTAGGCACTGACCGAGCAGATAATCATTTACCAGACGGACAACGTGGTTTATGCAAATTCTAGTGGTTTTCAAGAGGAAGCAATGCTTTGTTTTATATTTTCATCACTGTTCAGTTATTAGTGTCACTACTCTAAGTAAATTTCACTGTGCGAACGGCTAAGACTTGTAAGGACTTATGAAAGAACCTCATTTGTTAATCTAAGATCTAAATACTAATGACAATGCTTTGCCCTTCTGCAGCACCTGCTAGCTAAGGATTTCTAAGTGCTTTACAAACATGAATGAATTCAACTCACAACCCTCCTGGGTGGTAAGTGCCAAGAAATATTATCCCCCTTTTACAAACGGTGAAACTGAGGCACAGAGAGTTAAAGTGATTTGCCAGTGAGCTAGTGGTAAAGTTGGGAATACAGCCAAGATCTCCTAATGATCCTTTGCTCTATTATGTGCTAGTATAGGGATCAGCAACCTTTGGCATGCAGCCCATCAGGGAAATCCACTGGTGGGCAGGGATGGTTTGTTTACCTGCAGCATCTGCAGATTCGGTTGATCGCAGCTCCCACTGGCCGTGGTTCGCCTTTCCAGACCAATGGGGGCTGCGGGAAGCAGCGTGGGCAGAGGGATGGAACGGCGAGCCGCGGCCAGTGGGAGTTGCGATCGGCCAAACCTGCGGACACTGCAGGTAACCAAACTGTCCCGGCCCGCCAGCGGATTTCCCTGACGAGCCACAAGCCAAAGGTTGTCAATCCCTGTGCTAGTATCTTAGACCAGTGATTCCCAACTTTTGGGGGCAACTGTAACTCTTTACCAAACTAAAACTCCAGCTGTGCTCATCAGTGACTTTCCCATCCAGCAGGCTCTGCAACCACTCTTCCTTAATGATCAGCTTGAATTCCAGTCTTTGTGCTGGCTCTTAGACCAGGGCCCCTGCCCATCTCTCACTCACTTGTGTACTCACTAACTTGTAACAGAACTTGAGAGGCTCTAAATGCTGGAACTGGAGCCGTCTCAGCTCAGTTGTAAGTGCGAACATTCCCTGCTGAATAACAGGCAGGGTAGCAATGGCACACCAGGATTCGACACAAAAAGCTGGGCCTTGGTTTTATAATTAAGGTTGGAGAGAAGATGCAATGTTGACCTCCAGGTGAGGATGTCCAGCCAAATACCAGGGATAAAGTCTGGAACCCTAATCTCTTCAAGAGTCAGTCCTGGATACTGGCATTTATACATGCACTATAGAGAGAAAACCCACTGAATCTATTGCTGTTTCTTAATGACATGAGAGAAAATTTCCCAGTGGTTTTCCAGGCTTGGCAAACAGTCACTTTCTCAAGTTTTGAAAGTCTCTCTGCAAAAGAATGGACCAGATTCTGCTCTTGGTTACAGCAGTGTAACTGTGGAGTCAGTGGAGTTGCTCCAGATGTACACCAGTGTAAATGAGACCAGTGTCTGGCCTGAGCTATGCTGAAGAGTGAAATATAGTTCATCTTGGCTAAGGAAATAAAATAAGTGCTGTAATCTGTATAATTCATAGGGTGAATTTCCTTTTACATTTTTTGAAAACCACAAAAGCGCATTACAGAACAAAATAATTAGTTATACGGTTGATAAATCCTGAGATGGGAGATAAAAAACCCACCTCCTTTTCATTTATTGTCACCTATATGTATATTTTACCGCTGCTGATGTGTGTTAGGGTTTTGCTATTTTATTTCCGGGGTCTATTGCAGGCCTAGTAACATTAGGAGATGGTGACTAGGAAGAATCAGGTGGATTCTTTATAGAAGCATAATGTTCTATCAATCATAAAAAAACTCCAGTTTTCCACACCATGAAATATGCAAATCACTTTGCATGCAGATTCTACACCCAAATGGTCTGTTCATTCTAATTCTAGTCACTCTGGAGAAGTTTTGGGTTCTATGTTGCATGGGTCTGGATGATAAGGGTTGAGACTTGGTGAATTATTAGCATTCTTGAAATTGACAAGTTGTACATGGCTGGAAATGTGTTAGGAAAACTGTCCCAACACTATCTACCTACGTTCTTATACTGGCACATTTTTACTCCATTGTGGATTCCTGCTGCATCGCTTCTACACCAGTCCCGTGTCTCTCTTAAATAAAGACCAGCAGTTGTTTCAGACTGTCAGCCCTGTGCAGAAATTTTGTGGTGCAAACAAGGGAAACCAGGCTGACCAGCAAACTCTCATTTTCATTTTTGAACTAACCCATATCTGAACCCTGCTTTCCAAAAGCTAAAGGCTAGTGCATTCATGCAATTCACAATATACAAGAGGCACCCTAGCTGAACTCATATCAACAAAGCAACTGAGTTTCTTTTAGCTTAGCATTCTGGATCTCCTAATGCTTGAGAATCCTTCAGGATTTCTACGTTTGATGTGGCCATATTTCTCAGGATGTGACTTTTTAAGGATTCGTTACACCTTACTACTCAGCCATCCTCCTTTGAAAGGCTCTATATGCCCCTATTCTTACTTCAGTCTGATTCTCTCCTCTGCAAGACAAAAAATTGACTTCTGTCCTTGCCAACTTTCTGGTTCTATATTGTCTCTTTTCTTCTAGATTTGGGTGGAGGTACCACAGTGTAGCTGGCTACATCATTCCCTTGTGTACTGTTAGCTATGACATGGAGGTGCCTGAACTGCATCAGCCTGATGAGCCCTTGGCTTGGGGAAATTTTGACTGCTAGGTCACCAGTTCAAATCTAGCTCAGGTTGATATCAACCAAAAGGCACTGTCACATGACAGCTGTTTGGCTGCCTATGTAAAAGATGTTGGTGAATTAGTCCAATTCCTAGTGGATCTGATGTCTGCTGTCGCTAACAGTCTCAATAATGAGAACAAGGTCTGAATGGACCATGGTGACTGATATCATCCCTTTTCTCCCCAGAGGCGGTCCCTCCAATACATCAAAAGAGTTATGAAGTTTCTCCTTGGGGGAAGAGGATGTCAAATCCTCCTGAATCCTTTCCACTTGTTAGAGGCACTGGAGGGAAAGTATAACTGGGTTCAAAAAATAATTAGGTAAGTTCATGGAGGATAGGCCCCTCAATGGCTATTAGCCAAGATGATCAGGGATGCAACCCCATGCTCTGGTGTCCCTAAACTTCCAATTGTCAGAAGCTGGGACTGGATGACAGGGGATGGATCAGTTGATAATTACCCTGTTCATTCCCTCTGAAGTATCTACACTGGCTACTGTCTGAAGACAGGATACTGGGCTAGGTGGGCCATTGGTCTGACCCGGTATGGTTGTTTTTACATTCTTATGAATAGTAACAGAATATGAGTTTCTGAAAATGATGTCTTTTAGAAAAATTTGCATTCCTTTCCTGCTCATCCATCCATTACAGTAATGAGGTTACTTCAGGCTATCATTCATTAAGGCTTGCTGATCATCAGCAGATTGTGCAGAATCAATTTTATTTCCCAAAATGTAGTCTTCCTCTCAGCTGTTTAAACCAAACCAGAGATGTCTGCAGTGTATCCCAGAGGCAAGTTGGCTGAGTATTAGCATGATTTCAATTACACAGTTATTAATTCCAT